ACACACACACACACTCATAGCACAACCCGGGCCCTGAGGTCCCTGAGAAGGCTCCTAAGGGTGCCCCGAACCAGGCTAAAGACCCAGGGTGACCGTGCCTTTGAGGCGGTGGCCCCTAGGCTTTGGAACAAACTCTCCCAGGAAATAAAAGTCTCTGCCTCAATAGAGAATTTATGTATTACCTGCTGTTGTTTTATGCCTTTTATTCTACATTTTATAGTTGTACTTTGAATTGTGTCCTGTCTACTGTACTGTAAAGTTTGTTCATTCGTGTTGAGAAGGGAGCTATATAAATAAAGTTTTACTTACTTAGCCACTGAGTTTATAATTGTTTGGATATGTGTCAAGGAGGTGAGGAAATGTACTTGGCCAGAGCCCTAGGATAGCATGTATTTTCCAGATGAGTAATCAAATTAATTGAAAGCATGAAAATGTTTTATTATAGTAAAGCAAGTTTCTGTCTGCTGTTTAGGATTGAAAGTATGAATAGTTTAAATTATTTTGTTGCAATTCTGATATAGATATATAATAGGATGGGTGAATGTTCATTGAATTTAACCCATTTTTAGTGCCTACGCCATTAACACGACTGAACATTAGCTGTCATATTGATTGGACCTTACAGGAAAATAGCATTGCATTAACATTATAGATAATAAAACTGACTGGTCAAAACAGTTAGTTGCTTATGTAAACAAAATAGTTTTGTTAGCATTGCCATGTGTACAGAAATGTACACATGCTTTTCAGCATTCTCTTGAATGTTGCTGACAGCTGTTATTTGTATTTTTATGTGCTCCCACCACTCAGTGTTTCAGGTGCGCTCTCATGCTGGCCCTGATGTCAAAATGCCGGGTTGACAGCGGAAAAATACAGAGGGATACCATAATTATTGCTTATGTTCCAAGAGAAGAGGATTTGTAGGGCCACTTGCTCTGTACACCCAACCATCTCCAGCACTAATGGCACACTCAGTGCCCTCTTACCTCTCAGCACCTCTTTCCTGTTTTCCGTGAAACCCTCACTTATTCGCTTGTCTTTCCCCGCCATAATCGATGGTAACAGTTAGTAGAAGGTCCAAATAACAGGACTCTACAGTATATGTTTTTTTTGTTCTAAAGCTCTGAACAAATGTAAAGCTCAAGCATTACCAACACAAGTAAAACTGATCCATCTCTGTAACCACAGTTATGCATATTTAAGGATACTTTTGAAATGTATTAGCTCCAGGAAAGACATTCTAGACATAGGGCACAGAGGGCAACATTCACTGTGGCTCATTGAACATGTAGCAAGGCAGCTAATGCGTCTTCATATGTAGATTTTGATACCATTAATGCAAGAGTACTTATAGACTGTAACATGTTGGAGCGAGCTACCAAGCTACTTGATAAGCAACAAACTCACAATTAAAACCCTCATGGGTGAACACAGCAGCAATAGTTTACTGTAATGTAAACACATAATATAGACTTTCAACCACCCAGACTACTCTGTCAAAGGGCATTGAGACTCTTTAGAGACCCTCTACCTTCTCTTTCTGGTCAGTTTGTCAGCACTGTAGGCTACGGCCTGGGTGAGCACTGGTTTCCATGGCCACCAGGTGCAGATTTTTCCACCACAAAGCCGCATTTGGCTGTAGCAAAGGAAACCAGATCCTTCTACCTGGCACTTTGTCCCCGTCTCCAGCCTTAGGGAGTGCTCACTTGTCCTCACTGACAGCCTGCTGAACACAGGGAGGCATGAAACTAGAGACCCCCCCTCCACCCATTTACATTCTCCTGTCCTAAGAAATCTATACCATAAGCTTTTTACTCTCAATGAAGTAAGGCTGATCCCAAGTGACCAGAACCGTATAGCCCGTCTATAGATATGATGGGACAGTATTTCAAAGGTAGTTTTCACATTCAAACACTGAAAATAAGCATATTTTGATGTGAAAAATGTAAATACTAGCACCACCTACCACCCAATGCGTTTTTTTAATGAATGAATAGACCATTCAGCATTTCACGAGGCCCCTCTCGGGAATGCCATTGTGCGTTTTCGACCCTCACTTTGTGGTTTTATCCTTCTTTTTTCGCTCTCCACCTCTTCTTATCTTCTGATTGACTCTCATGATGTGCAGGCCGCTTTTCAAGGCATCCTTGAATTCCACTCATTCACCCGTCCCTCAAGAGCTGCCATGTCTGTAGGCACTTCTCTTTTTACCCCCGCACAAATCTCACACCATGGGGGTGTGAAGTGAGGAGAATCCTATGGGACGGAGAGATTACCATCAAGCCTAGAGCTCTTGTGACAAAAGAGGGATTTGCAGAGTCCTGTACCTCTGTCCTCTACTTTCCTATGCGCTGGCCGGAAGTAGGACTTTGGGGAACTTTTTGGGGTTAGATGACATTACCTGTCTTCACTGTACCTGTCCGAAACTGAGAACTGTCCAGGTGCACTCAGTACTAGATGCAATCTTAGGTAGTGGACTTAAATATAAAGATGAAAAGATGCGAGAAAGGGAAAACATCAGTTTCTGTTGACTGATATACAGTAATACATGATTGATGCATCGGTGTGTAAGCAGCTTTTTACTGTTGTTGCTACTCAATGTGGAGCTAGTTTGAAGGTTACAGTAAGGTAGTTTAGTCCAGTGGTTTCCAAGATACATCTGGGTAGTAATAAGATGTTTAGAAAAGAACAAAAACA